GTCATAAAAAATTCTCATTGTACTTGGACTTAAGGGTTTATTATTCTTGGTGTATAAAACCCTACGACGTCAAAAAATAATTACTAATAAACGTATCAATTATCAAGACAAGAGCTCTGTACATATGCTATCAAGCAAATGCTTGAGGGGAGAAGGGAGAACATTTGGAAGTTGCTCCAGATCAAGCACCGTTAAAAAAGAACGTTCATTTAGAGTCTCTAGTAGTGCTCGCGAATAACCCAAGCTATTTCCTAAAAAACGCCCAGACTTGTCAATTTTTGATTTTAGGGGCAAACGTTTTGTGCCAGTTTCGACCCCTAAACGGAAAGAGGGGTCGAATGATATCTTATTTTGAAGGTATTTTTACATAGATTATAACCCCCGAGTTTTACATCGCTACTATCTACTTACCCCATACAGTGATTCACCAAAAGTCCAAAACCGGTTTAACATAATTTTTACATTGTTATTAAAAAAAAAAATTGTAATAATTCCAGTTTTATTCTTGTGGCCTTTAATTATTGTAATCAGATGACATTCTTTGGTCGCCGTAAAGTAGTAAGGTTTAGTTTATTTCGTTGTAGAGTCAGCATAAAAGTGGCATAGCAGTGATAATGGTTTACTCAACGGCTGAGAGGGTGCAAATAATATCACTTTTTCTGCGAACAATGAATATGCTAATAGAACTGCCCAACTGTTTAACAATTAACATCAAAATCGAAAAGTCCATCGAAAGTATATTTTGGAGTTAATCCAAAAATTTTGGGAAACGGGATCAGTAGAGAATAAATAACGTGAAATGGAAAATGCTGTAGTAAATGAAGCTACAGAGGTGGCGACTTAGGACATGTTGTTCAAGAACCCACATTGAGTACAATACTGTTGGCGATAACATCTTGTATTAAGAGAAGTAGCATTCAGAAGATATTGAAAAAACACAAGTTACGTCCCTACAAATACATCTGGTACAAAAACTTAAACAAGACGATTTTGATAGGCGATTACAATTTTGTGAAATTATGACTGAACGGGTAATAAATGATCAGCAATTACTTCTCAAAGGTTTTTTTTTCTGAAGAAATTACTTTTTCCTAAATGGTACAGTAAATCGTTACAACTGTCGATATTGATCCCATTCAAATCCCAGATTATTTTATGAAGTTCATACGCAACATCCGGAAAAACTGAATGTTTGTGCTGGCATTTTTGGTAACCGTATAATTGGCCCCTTTTTTATCCGGAACTTTAACCGCAGAAATAAATCTGGGATTATTAAAAAACGCCATTCATCCAGCATTACTAGAATTGATTGAGACTGACGATCAGTATATAGCAAACAACTTATTATTTCAGCAAGACGGTGCGCCACCCCATTTTAAACTGACTGTTCGTTAGTATTTGGATCAAACGTTTCCAGGTCAATGAATCGGAAGAAGATGAAGTATTGAGTAGCCCCCACGGTGTCCGGATCTAACTTCGTTAAATTTTTTATGAGGCCACTTAAAAACTAAAATTAATGACACCCAGCCAACATCACTGGAAAATCTGCGACAACGGATAATTAATGAATGTCATCAAATCGCCCCACAGATGCTTTAAAATGTCCGAGAGCGTTTTGAACAAAACCTCTGTTATTGCATGGAGGCCCAGGGTCAGCATTTCCAGTATTTACTCGAGGAACTGGTAAGCATTTAAAGAAAATAAAAATCGTTGTGAGATCATGGCTCGGAAGACAGTAACGATTTAAAACTGGGGGGTTATAATCTAGGTAAAAATACCTTCAAAATGAGATATCATTCGAGCCCTCTTTCCGTTTAAGATTTTAGGGGTAAGTTTCACTACCGCTAAAGGGTTTCCGTTCAAGAGGCGAAGCTGGCTAAAAAAAAATTCCCCCTAAAATCATCAAAAATCTACTTCTAAATTCATGATAGTTAATAAATGTTTTATATTATGTTTCTTCTTATTTCATTGGTACTTTAGCACCGCAGCACCACTGAATACCAGTGGTGGCTGCACCGAGCATATAGGGTTGCCAGATGCCAGATATCCCGATTTAGTTGAGAGCCTCCAGCCTACCGATTGTTGATACTCCCGTCTGCCGCTTCAATCCACAAAACTTCAGCAATTCGACATCTGACAATACCATTTTTTAAAGAAAATTTCTTTAAAATCAACGCTTTGAGCTGGCTTTTAAAGTGCTTTTAAAAAACCGGTGGTGACCCTAAGTGGGGTGTGGAGGGGGTTCCCATTTCCCGCATGTAGGCCGAGCACCCAAAGCAATTTTTGAGTTCCGGCACCTATGCAAATAGGTTTTTGATGGAGATGGCGTAAAATTTAAAAGGAATGAAGGTGTACTTACTCTTGCCGTACGCCACTGGCAAAGTTTATTTTTTTTTTTTTGCTAATAGGTGTGTCTTATAACACTTAAAATGTTTGCTAAATATAATTTTATTAAAATAATTCCAACATTACAAAATTAAAAATTAATTAAAGTGAAGAATATCTACCTTTCAGTGTGAACATCTCGAAAACTAATCACTTTATGAGCGCCCAACGAAAGTACATGAATTTAAAAATGTAAAAGTATAATAGTCTAAATAATTTTTTTGGCAATGCCGTAAATTTTAGATGGGATGAAAGTGTTACTTATCCCGTATGCAACTGGCAAAATTTATCTGATTGTTTTGCCGAGAGCTGTATCTCATCACACTAAAAATGTAAATTTAGTAAAATTATAATGAGAAATAAAAAAAAATTATAGCCAATAATAATTTTTGAATTTACAAATTTAACACCCTGTATTTCTGATACAGTAATGTTTTGTCTAAGCGTGTTTCGTTAAATCGTCTTATTTTCAATCAGATAATCTTCAAATCTTCAGTTGTTCTGTGTCTTAATGAGACACCCTGTATATATAAAATTCATTATTTAATTCATTTATAAATAAAAAAATATAAATAATTTCGCAAGTCATTGCCGAAAAGAAAAAATCCGAGTCTTCCGGATGCAATGTTTTATTTGCAAAAAAGTCGACCATGGTATAAAAACCAAATAATTAACAATGATATGATGAATGTCCATAACATCTTTTTATAAAAAAAAAAACAGTAAAAATACTAATTATTAACAATTACATATTTTTTGATCGACTTTTTTATTTTTATTCATTATAATGCAAAGTTTCGGAAATCTTAGATAATGAATAAATTGGATAGAGATCTGAATGTATATATATATTTTTTTCATGAACTTGAACTATCCATTCTTGTGCATGTTGGAATTATGTAAAAAAGTCTCACTAAGGTCAACTTTAATGATCGCTTTGATATAATTTCATATTTATATAAACAGAAATCCTAGAAAATGTAATGGTATTTTAATATATTTTATAAAATTTGGAATCTATTTTTATTCTAGTATTTTGGAAACGACTGCAGTTAAAAATCAATCTTTCCAAAATATAAATTAGCCAAATTTTATTAATAATTATTAAAACTTATTGAATGAGTTTGAAAAACAAGTCTTTTATTTCTCGCAAAGTGAGAAATAAGGAAGGGACCTTTTTCTTCTACCTATTTACTAAATCTCTGCAACTTACATATGGCTACCCTCATCTTTAATATTAGGACTTAATTTAGCCACTTGAGGGAATGTAAACATATGAATTTTTCTTGATAGCTATTATTATTTCCAGATCTTTATGTAGGTACTTATTGTTTGTATTATTTTTTATATTATTTTTATATCGTGTTTGTGTTGTTTTTATATCGTCTTTGTGTCATTTGTGCGTCTTATCTGTATCGTTTTTATTACTTTTCTGTATCGTATCGTTTTTATTACTTTTTTTGTATCATTTTTGTATTGTCTTTATCGTTTTTGTGACGTTTTCGTATCGTTTTTGTATCGTTTGTGTATCGTTTGTGTATCGTTTGTGTATCGTTTTTGTATCGTTTGTGTATCGTTTTTGTATAATTGTGTCGTTTTTGTATCGTTTTGTATCGTTTTTGTATCGTTTTTGTATCGATTTTTTATCGTTTTTTGTATCGTTTTTTGTATCGTTTTTGTATTGTTTTTGTATCGTTTTTGTATCGATTTTATATCGTTCTTGTATCGTTTTGTATCGTTTATGTATTGTTTTTATGCTTGTTTGTATTGCGGACTTTCAGAACGTAAAAATGTGATGCAATTTGATGTTTTTAACGCTTGACTTTTAAAACGTAATTTATAATCTTTTATTTGAATTTAGTGTACCCAACTGCCCAATTATAATATCGTACATGCAGTGAAGACATATAGGTTAGAATAAATTTGATATTTTTCTGTCTGCCAGTATTTTAACAAAATGCTTTCATATGTTAATTTTTATTTTTAGCTGCGCGTCTTACGCTATAATTCAATATAGTAATGACGTCATTACTATAGTATACATGACATGACACATCGAAAAATCGAAAAATCGAAAAATCGAAAAACCGAAAAATCGAAAAATCGAAAAATCGAAAAATCCAAAAATCGAAAAATCGAAAAATCGAAAAATCGAAAAATCAAAAAATCGTAAAATCAAAATATCGAAAAATCGAAAAATCGAAAAATCGAAAAATCGAAAAATCGAAAAATCGAAAAATCGAATTTATTCCAACCCATTCATCCTTACTGTATAAATATAAATAATATGAACAGTTTAATTATTTAAAAAAATTAAGGGTGTTCAATTTTTTTATGTTTTCTTGCCGATATATATTTTAATTAGTATGCTTTTTAAACTGGTTTTTTATAATTTATAATTGAAATTTGTAAATCGTTTTCCATTTTTAACTACTTGTTCAAGTAATTACTAATAATTGAGTTAAAATATAGAGTAAGTACTATCAACTATGTTTGTTAACACACGCACACATTAATAATTAATAACAATAATAAAGGAATATATAGATAAATATACCAGTTGTCCATTTAGATAGAAATTTAATATACCTAGTAATGAAATAAAAAAAACTTACTATTTTTCCGCCACCATATTCCCAGAATTTTGCTACACTTTTTAACATTTTTCTGAAACAAAAATAAAAATACGTTAATTAGAATAAAATAATTAAATATGTACTAAATTAAACACATTTCACTATCTATAAAATTAATCAATATCATTTTAATATTAATTAGTATTTTTCAAGGTTATGTGCTGTGACATATCAATTGAAGTGGCGTTATCAAGTTGTCTTACATGAAAAAACTCGAAACTGGAGAAATTTATCTATTACAGATATAAATAAAATTAGATTTGCTGCAAAAAGTATATAACTGATCATGTGATCATTTAAATGTGACATTATTCTTGTTAATTTTTTTACAAAATTGTTTGAATCATCTTAAATTCTAAATTTTCCTCAATTCAAGTTTTTACGATGTAAATAAGTCTTATTTATGTAATTTTTCTACATTTCACTGATTACTTTATTTTGACGTTTTAAATTTAATAGGTAATTTATATTGAATTACAATAAATACACAAAAGATAATAAAAATATTTTAGATTCATTCGTTTTATGTGGTTGTTTGCTTGCGTCTTCTTCTTTTCGGTAGCCTTGTCTTATAGCCCACACAGATTCGTATCTTTTGACTGATTTAAATTTAAAATATAATATTTTTAATACAAATCCCGTTATCAGTGACGCCATAGTACTACCAACTAACTAAGCAAATAATTCTAAAATGTCACGAATATTCACGAGCATTCATGAACGTGGTCATATTACTAAAAATAGTAATGGTGATTATTTTGATAATTTTAGAATTATTTAGCTTATATACGTCCTATTCTTGATAATGTAAAATTTATTAAAATATTATTATATGTTTAGTACTCAAAAAATATAATTTACATTAAATAATTTTGACATTCTGTACGTCCATGAAACTCGTTTTTATAGAGAAGAAATGCCATTATAGCAATTAGGCATTCCAATGACCTGTCCAAATGGCTACCAGTGGGTTCTGACAGTTTAAATATGGCAACCCTGTTGGGCATATTGTCAATAACAGGGTCAATGATACCTATTTAGTTATATAGATTGCTTAGAGCGGATCGTTTGCGAGTGGCCATATTGCCTGTCTAATTTGAATCGGTTTAGCAAAAATGTGTTTTAAAACCAATTTTAAGCTTTAAAATATAAAAAAAAAATAATTGCCTACATTCTTACTTCAAGGCATAAGCTTGTATTTATTTTTAAAACCATGGATGATCAATCTATATAACTGTTTATATTATTGACCCTATTAAACCACCAGGCTTACAGTGTTGCCATATTATAATCTATCATGTGTCTGTCAGTGGCCTGTCATTTTAAACGGGCAGTCATTTTGTTTGGAATGCCTAATTGGTATAGCTGCACACTGTGCTGCCAATAGTTTTAAAAAATTTCACTAATTTAGGTTTTAGGTTATGTTTACAAATCGATTTTCAAAACAAAAATAGTGTGAGTAAAAGCTGTTTTTATGTATTTTATTTCTACATACAGAATACAAAAAAAAAACAACTAAATAGCCGTTAATATAGTATTTTGAGCGAGAGCGTGATAATGATGGACCCACTATTACCTTCAACTGCTATAAGTGCTGTATGAGAAGTAAGTAAAAGATTATAGAAATGTATAGAAATATTAAATTAATTTTTTGTTTTAGCGTATTGCCGCAGCCCTATACCTAAATATTTCCACTGATAGTAAGTATTTCGCAAGTAGTCAAGAATAATGAATGATTAAAATCGCCACCATAAAAGGAGCCATATATCGAAACAAAGAATTACCAACACAATAACATTGGATACGAGTGGAATCCGGTGGAATTCCAAATGTTATTTATAATATGTATGAAGCAAGTAATTAAAAAGACAAATCTATTTATCAAATTACAATTTTTTTTTTCTAATAAAAGTTTAAATTTGTGTACATATCTACAGTAACATAAATACAAATTTATTTGAAGGACAACAGATAACTTTGGAATCTTTAAGAGAAAAGTTGTTTGAGAAGCAAATGTTTAATGGCTGCATCATTGTGGACTGTATTATAAGATTTGAGGAGAAAAAATTACCCAAGACAAGGACTTATGGAAGGAACTTCATGATATTGCTGTAAAAAGAGTTTAATTTTTAAGAAATTATAGAAATGCAAAAGAAGCAGCTTTATATCAGTTCGTTTTCATTGATCAAACAAGTTTCTTATAAAATAGAACAATAAACTGCTTCTAACAAAATGATGACAAACAGAACTACAAAATAAATTCGATAGTAAGAGGCGAGTCACCAAATTTGAAGTAAATAAATGTGCAAGGCAATCGTGAATTTTCTTGAATTTTCTGACTTAAAGTTCAAAAACTTATTAGGTATGTTTATTTCTCTTATCATGTGCCTACAACATTGCTATATTGTAATATCTAAACAACACATCATATTGAAGATTTTATGGTAGGTACGCTGATATTAAATTAAATCTTACGAAAAAAAAATTGGAAAAATTTAAATTTTTTGGGAAACATTAGAGTAGTCAATAAAAATATACGCTTTTCACATGCTCGAGTTGTGAAGAAATAAAATAAAATTAAATCAAAAAGTTAGAAATGTTTTTATAAAACTTGCTATAATAACAGCGTATCTGCTATTAAATCGTTGATAAGATGTGTCGTTTCGATATTACAGTTTAGAATATAGCGATATTCTACGAAACAGCAATTAGAAATAAACCACCAAAGGTATATATGGTAGATAATTTAGCAGAACAAAATGGACATAAAGTGTTACATCTTCCTCACTACCATTGTGTTTTTAACCCCATTAAACTGATTTGGGGCCTCTACGAGCAATATTATAATAAACAAATTATCGAAGATGGTAATTAAGAACAAGATTCGTTACATACGTGGTCTGAAGCTCTTCGAACAATTACTTCCCAAGTATGGAAAAATTCTATTCTATATATTAGAGAAAAATAAATATTAAAATGGTATGAAAGAGAGATAGTTTCTGATAGATTGGACATTACTCCTATTATAATTAACCCTGACAGCGATTCATGTAGTTGCGATTTGGATTAGGAGAAATGGTAATATAACGTGAGCCATTTCCGACCAATCCTGATCATGCTCTGATCTTTTGTGTCCATCTTCCTTGTTTGGGCCTTTTTACAACCCCACTTTGTCCTTAAATTAAAACCAGGAATATTTGATGAACCCCCTTTACCCAAATACAGGGAAGCCTATGCTAACAGATAGCCAGTTTGAATCATTAATTCGGGAATGTACTAGAACCCTTTATAGGAGAATATTTGAGTAAACTGGCGAGAGCAACAAATGGCCAATGGAAAGTAAAAGAATTTGGTGGTTATTTCGGGACTTTTTCGCAATTTATACAAATATGCGTTTGCAGTTATGGACAGTCAGTTGAAGTAAAGCAATAGCTGTGCGATAAAGTAAATTAGTATAAGTAAATTGTATGTTTTAATTAAATTAGTGCTTAAGTATTATAAATTAATTAATTAGTAATAGTGTAAATAAATAAACTGTTTTATATAAATAAATTATTAAAGATTAGTAAGATAATTTGTTTTCAAACAAAACATTGTTTTATTTTAATACCAATAAATAGTTTGATATACCTATTTCTTGTACTTTGTAGTTGGATACATATGAGATTTTTTTTAATATTACGATTGGAATAAAATGTCGTTGGGTAATCAACTCTGCTTATTTAAAAACTTAAAATAGCCCATATCAACTTTATGAAACACCCTATATATCTGTATTATTATTTATTCCAAAATATAACAAAATAATAGTATTAAGATTCACGAGGTTTCACTATGTGAGTCCTACAATTAAATATTTACAATAATTTTTTAAAGACTAGTACAAATAAACAACTATTTAATAAAAGGATTTTGTTTGTAAAATATTGAATACACAGGATTGTACGAAATTGGCAGAACACTCGACTTGTAGCATGGAATGCATTACAAATTTACCCGAATAAAGTGTTTTGTATATCTTATGCACTATTATTGCTAAAGAATCCACCGACAAAAATATTTTTCAAATGTCCTTTAAAACTGGTAGGATGGGGAATCTTGATGTTCATGCATTGGTTTCAATACTCTTAGAGATGAAAGGAAGCAGTGATATTGGTCTACACTGCCCTGCTAAGCTAAAACGTCCTATCTGACAAAATTTTAGTTTTGGAGTTGAAGGCATGTTTGTGATGCATTTGTGATACATGCATTTACAATTGTTTTCCTACGCAAAAACGTCTTACCTACAACATAAAGCACTTGTTTCTTATAGTCAGTTTCGTCCTTATATTTATATAGGTAGTGGACAATGTGAAAACAAAAAATCCTTAATATCTCAAAACTTTCCTCATGTCAGATAGGACGTTTCAGCTTAGCAGGGCAGTACAGTTGACGCATTTTTAGCTATCTTCAATACTTAAGACCCAGAACCGTTACTAAAACTGAGATTTACTGAAATAGCAACTCAAATATTTTAACAATTTTATTCTTGTATTCAATTATTTTAGCATTTTCATTCTTGAATTTATTAAGTGGGTATCTCCACTGATATTGTGATGGAGTACTAATGCACTACGACCCAAACGATTTAGTGTATTCCTTCCAATCCTATCGTCTCAAGGAAGTATAGAATTTGGAGTGGTTTTAAGGTAGTTCTATTTGGTACGCTCACGCTAATAAATATAGTGCCTTTGGATTCTGGAGTCGGCAATGGACGGAATGGATCCCTGTTCTTGCTCAGGTAGATACAGGCTTCCGATCTTTTCTGGTTATATTCACCCAGAAGTATATTGGCCTGTCTTAGTCCCAAGAGATCTTTTTATGTCTTTGTAGATGATTTCATTTTTTCAATGTTCTAATTTCATGGGGTATTCAGGTGTTGTGGTTTCTAACTTAAAAGTATTCTAGTAAAAAATTTTCTTGGTAAAATGTAATTAGTTTGAAATATTTTCTGTGTTTATTCTGGACCAATTTTAGTGAATACAGTGTTTA